GTGACAGTTCATCGAGTTATAAACATCGTTGAGAAGAAGCCCTCCGTGCCATGGCAAGCTGCGGAATATGAGCAAGGATATGATCACGATCCTCACTACAGTGATCCTAGTCCTAGAAATTACGATACAAGAAGGTGTCATGAAGAAGACAGTTTCTTATCCAATGATTATCAGTACTATGAAGAACATCCTGACTATAATGCCTTTTACAGAAGTGACACACCACCAAGAAATGTAAGTAATGCAGGAAAACACCACTGACTCCGTGATCGGTATCAGTGTAGCTTTTAAATTGGATAATTGTGATTTTTTTTTTGTTGGTTGCTAACAGGAAGCTTACTCCTCTCAACAGTATTATGGCCGAGATGATCTGAGGCATCAACTAAGTTCAAGGTATACATTTTGTGTGACCTGTTGATTCTTGCTCTTCATGCTGCTGTTTCTACCAATTATGTCTTTCTCTGGATGCCTTGGTGACCTTTTCTTATTCATTTATTTTCTTCCATCACATTTTTACTTTTTCCCTATACACAATTTTTTATGAAAACTTTTAAATTAAAAAAAAATTTTTTTGTTCCTGTGAAGGACCTTGTAATTTTTATTTTCAGAAGTGCTAAATAAAATAAATCTTTGCTCATGGTTCAATTCAGCATTTTGACCACTAGATGGGGATAGAGGTTTTCTATTAGACTAATAATCATTAAATGGTTTTGATTGTATAATTTATAATTCCAGTACAATTTAAAATGTAAAACCACCTAAATTTATTTCCTGATCCTAGATTTCATGTTGAAAGTACAAAATGTAACGTAGACTTTAAAAACAGGAGTTAGATATCATTAATGAATATATTTAAACCTACTAAATCCAGTAGTTACACTGTTTACATCAACACCGTTTCTTGTTTCTGACTACTTGCTGCTTTCACATGTGGTGTCCGTTCACAGACACCCCTCTCCAGGAGCCGTACCAGGCTAAGCAATGCGACAAAGCCCACTAGTGTCTGCTCTATTAGCTAGACCGCCCCACGTTGAGCCATCTGAGTGGAAAAACAGCTGGACCGCCCTTCCCTCGCTCAAACATCCATTTTCCAAATTATGTGAATCAATTGAATCTTGATTTAAAATAAAAGTAAAGAAATGATCTATAGTGATGGGCCACATCACCTCTTCTGAGATAACTGATCGTTTTCCTTCTGTCTTACGCTGATCACCAGAACTATTAAAAAAATCAAGTTAAAATAACTGGTTCATAAAAAGGCATTGACAGAAATTGAAAGAAGATTAAAGAAGTTAATTAAATGATAATTTCTCTTTGAGATTTATTTAAGTCTTGGCTTTTTTATTTTCAGTAATGATAATAATAATCGGTGTATTTATGTTTATATTCTCTTCTAATAAAAGTGAGCATTTCTTAATACAATTGCTCCACAGGAACCGGGGCAGAGCACTTTTTGCCCGAAAGAGAGGTCAAGGGTCAGGCCGTCCTCCAAGGTCTGGCCCCAGAATCCGGTAAGTACCTTCACTTATTTCTAAATCTCTCAGATGGCTGCATTTACAAGTATGTTTTTTATGATTTAAACCCATTTTAGTTTATAATTATTAAGATTTTATCACATTATTTTTATTGATTGACAAAGTGCTGAAACTTTCTGAAAATTATCAAATGAAATGAGGGAGCTTTCTGCCCAAAGTGGATTTATTTGCATTTCATTTTATTTGAATGAACTCAAATTCAGTTCAACTGTGATTGAATTCATTAGATTCAGATTGTCATTCAAATTGTGCCATTTGAAATGTTTTTATTAATTTATTTTCTGTAGGGAGGACCAAAGCTACAGAAACTCAAAGTCTTTTGCCACAAAACGGGAACCCTCTCCTCCGAGAAACAAAGCCCAGCAGTCCACAGCTGCACGCTCCAGATCCAACTCCAGGAACAGGAGCTTCTCCCCAGACAAAGACAAAGGCCACAGCTATCAGAAGCAGCAACAACATGAGCATCATGAAAAGCTTAAAGGTCGGTCTGGTTCCTGATCATGTATGTAGCACCACCATAACCCACCAGTCTGAGTGGGCTGCCATGTTGTGGGTTTAACTTAATCAGAAAACTTGTGTCAACCTCGACTGAACTCACCGTGACCTCGCCCGTTTTCCTTCTCTGATTTTAAATCGGTGGACTGACCCGACACTAATGACTTTGACCACCTGACCTGGAGACTGGTAGCTTTTACGACATCTCAGAACATCTTGTCATTTTGAACTGTGTGATAACTAAAACTCACAAACGTCACCAAGAGCTGAATTGTATTTAATGAAAAACCTGCAGCTTTCACAAAGTCTGACTTATACGTTTTTTTAGAGTCAGAAAGTTCTGAGTGGATTTAGAATGACTAAAGGAATGAAGGCCTTCCAGGTGAAGCATCTGTTTTCAGTGGAGGTGTGTAATGTGAGGGGTCAGGGTGGGCTGTAACATGTTAGGATGTTAATTACACCAACACTAAAAAACACTCCTGTAGAGGCTGGGAAAAAGGATACCCTGGGTTTATTGGGGCGGTTTGCCTTTGGATCCAGGACCCGACCTTTTCCTTTAGTGAGAAAGTGGTTAATTATATGTTGACTTAACGACGTCTCCAGAATCACTCTGGGCCTGTAATTGAACGTTTTGTATTTTACAGTTTCATTAAGCTTTCGAACCTAAACGAATAGTCAGTTTTAACAAAAGCTGACTTTGCTGAGTAGACCTTTTATTTATTTTTTAGATTTTCTGCTACTTTTGATGATGTAATCCAGGAAATATTATGTTTCTCTGATTAAAAATATCATTAGTCTGGATATTTATGTTTATGTTTATTTATTTGGCAGACGCTTTTATCCAAAGCGACTTACAATTTCTAACCTATAGGGCATGTTGTGATCTGTGGGGGAACCGGAGTACCCGGAGGAAACCCACGCATGCATGGGGAGAACACGCAATTCCACGCAGAAAGGCTGCAGCCGAGTTTCGAACCTGCAACCTTCGTGCTGCGAGGCAACAGTGCTAACAACTGCGCCACCATGCAGCCCCTAATTTAGCTATTAGCTGTGAGCTTTTGCTGCATTAAACCAATTTTATTCATATTATCTGTAGAGAAAGTTCATGTGTATTGAATTAGAAGGTGATACCAGTGCATGATATCTCAACAGGGACTTACTCCCACTGTTGTTGCTCCTCCACCCAGAACCTCGGTATGCTGCCGTGTCCATGATAAACCACAATTACTTCACTACATAAGCTTTAAAGCAAAAGTTTTGAACCCTTTAAGCTGTTTTGTTCAAACTTCAAAGTTGAGCAGCATCACAGCGAATACGGCCATCTGCTGGCCAGAAACAGCACTAAACATGGTGTTTTTAGTTAGAGGTGGAGCAATGGTCGGGGTAAAGTTTGGTGTTCCCATAGCTCAGGTAAAAGCTAACAGTCAGCTGTTTCAGTTTGCTGACAGTCATTAAAAAGCAGAATAAGAAGACAGAAGACGTTTGCTTTGTTGTTGGCTTCATGGCCGAGCCTGGAAGTAAAAGAAAGTAATGTCTTTGAGGCAACGCAAGCATAGCGTGAACATCGGCACGGTCTACCAGAGGTGTGACCAAGTCACTGCTTTGTAAGTCACAAGTAAGTCACAAGTTTTTCCAGTCAAGTCTCGAGTTAAGTCCAAGTCAAAGACAACCGTGAGTCCAAAGTCAATGATGTGGAAGTCCAAGTCAAGTCAAAGTCCTTAACTTTGAATTTTTAAGTCATAATCAAGTCATCTGTCCAACTTCAATTGATGACGATAATAAATAAATTCCAGAAATAAAGCTTCTTAAATCTTAATTTATTTGCTCAAACAAGCAGAAAGTGCACCTGAAACTGGTTGTAAACAAAGTGCTGCTGCGTTCAGCAGAACAAGATCAAACCCAGAACCAAGAATGATTTATGATTTTTGTCCATGCCTTGCCACTTTTGTGCTAAAATATCAAATATGCTCAAGTCAGCACATACAAGTCAATTCAAATCGCAAGTCATTGCGTTCAAGTCCGAGTCAAGTGGTAAGTTTTTATAGATTTTATCAAGTCAAGTCAGAAGTTATTAAAAAAAGACTGCGAGTCTGACTCCAGTCCAAGTCATGTGACTTGAGTCCACACCTCTGCGGTCTACACTTTTTGGAGGCTGCGCCAGCGTTGTACAGTTGTAATTCAGCTTTCAACCAGTCTGGGGAGAAGCAAGGAAACTCGTTAAAGGTGTGGAACACTGAAGTGACGGCTCCTCTGAACGTAGCGGAGGTTTAAAAGAACGTGCATCCTTTTAAACCTCCGCTACTTTCAGAGGAGCCGTCAGATCAGCATACAGACAGTAAAGTCATTGCTAAGTCATAAGATCGAGCAGACTGCAGCATCACCCCTCTCAGAGAACTTCATTCTTTAGATTTCTCTGACAGCAGACGGGGATGACACGCCCGTAACAGGTTAATTCATGGCTAACTATCGATGGATGGCAGAAAGTCAGTCTCTTAATACCTGCAGCACTCTCTGCTGATGATCAGCTCACTAACTGGAAACAGGTTGAAATGGTCGTCCTGCTACATTTAGATGAGTTTTTCAAAACCCCGCCCACCTTCTCTGGACAAATGGAGATATTTCTGGGCTGAATTATCGTTCCTGTCCATCTTATGTGGCAGGATGGATCTCTGAAAAATCACACAAAATTCCTGAAAGAGGAAAACTCCCGACAGCAGCTTTGACTTTAAGGTTGCATTTAAGTTCTGTTTCATCACCGGTAATTAGACAAAGGACAGAGCGGTTCATTCTCATATTTTTGATCTGAATTCTCACGTTAATTTGGGGGCAGCTGAACAACACAACCACTTTTTTGTGGGAGGCCACAACAATAGAGTGTAGCAAATAACATCCAGATGACGGGGATTTAATGCCTCTTCAGCTGTCGCATTCTGTTGTGGCTTCACTTTTATTCAGAGATGAAAGTAGAAGTTGTTTCACACATTATCAAGTTACCCAACAAAGTCTGGAGCGGCATTAGAGGGTAAAACAAGAATAAACCATAACAAAGACCTCAGTCCAGTTATGTTTCAGAGCAGCAAGTTGTTCCCACAGGCTCTGATTTAATGCATAGAAAAGTTAATTAAAAGATTTCAACAATACATATCTTTTTGTTGCCTTCTAATTTTCTGTCAGAACTCTGTTTTTACTACACGGTGTCATCCCCACAGAGAAGACCGACATGGTGAAGAGCCAAACTCCCAGCAGCCCCATTAGAGACTCTCTTCAAAGTCCAAACTCTTCAGAGGTAAAACCCGCTGTTTTATCTACGTCACTGTGAGTGTTCAGTTAGGAAAACACAGTCACTCACCAGCCACTTAATTAGGTATACCTGTACATCTGCTTGTTAACACAGAAATCTGATTAGCCAATCACACGTCAGCAACTCATTTAGGTATTTAGATGTTGTGAAGACGACTCACAGAGGGAAGCCAGATATTTCAGCCTTTATTTGTTATAACTGTGGTGATTGTGACTTAAGGTTTGTGAAAACTCAAAATTAAAATCTCAGACAAATGTAATATTGTGAAAAGGTTCAGTATTCCAGACTAGTGTCACACTGATCAGCTAACCAATCCAAACACCTGCAGAGGGTTCCTGAGCCTTTAGATGGTTTCTCAGTGTAAATTGAATCACTAGAATGTACTTTTGCTTAATATTCAAATTTTTTGAGTTTCACTTGTAAATGATCTGAAAAGGAGAAAAATATCCATTGAATAGAAGTTGTGTAGAAGAAATTGTGTTGTTAAGCTCAGTGGAGACGGGTCAGACTGACTCTGTGGAAGTTCAAAAACCTGCCGGTTCCTACCACGGTCTACAGAACCACACGTTGAACCTTGAAGCAGATGGACTCCAGCTGCAGAAGACTATACCTGGTGTCACTACTGCCAGCTAAGAACATGAAACTGAGGCTACGGTTCCACATAGGAGTAGGGTTGTCACGGTGTGAAAATTTAACCTCACGGTTATTGTGACCAGAATTATCATGGTTTTCGGTATTATCGCGGTATTTTTTTTAAACGTGTTACATTTTCAGACAACTAAATAAACCCTGTATATCAGGGAATTATTGTCCTCAGTTTGTGTCTAAATTTAACCTAAAATTTGTTACTTTGTAATTATGTTGTTTATTTGTTTACATTTTTTTCCCTTTAGTCTTTAAAATACCAATATTTGCCCATAACTTCTTATTTTTTGTCTGTTTGATGTCATCATTTTAAAAATATTAGATCAGATGATACTCAGTACTCAAGTAGACTTCTAATCAGATACTTTTTTACCCTTACTTGAGTAATAAACCCTATATCAGGAAAATATTGTCCTCGGTGTGTGTCCTTCCAGTGAGCTTTGCAGATTAAGGGAAAATGTCATCAGGCAGTAATCATTGTTAAATTCATAATTATTCTCGGAGAGAGACCAACTCTTATCTGTCCCTGGGAGCCCCGTAATGCATAGCGTCATTTCAACATGGGGGTGTCCGCGACACGGTTTATTTGCAGGTAGCGGCGCTGCGGCTGCTTTATATAGCGACTCGTTGCATTCTCCCTCAACCCAAATCCTCGGATCACGCATTTTAGCTAAAACGCTAACGTTAGCTTGCCTTGCGTTGACTGTAGAGTTGTGGGTGATGGTCTCGCAGATGTGTCATGAGATTTGAAGCATTGGTGCCTTTCACAGACACTTTTTCTGCACGTGCTGCAAACAGGATAGCCGTCATCTATCAGCTGTCCCTCTGCATTCAAATATCCAAAAAATGCCCGTACTTCCGACTTTGTCTTCTTTGAGGGATAATAAATGTCCTGCACGCTGCCGTCTCCTCCTTTGGCCATTATTTCAGCTTTAGCTTCAAGAAAGTTTTGGTTGTAAACAACAAAGCGCGCATGTGCCGCCGGCAACTTCAGCAGATGATACGGTGGCTGGTAAGGGTCACCGCGCCTACACCGCAGCCACGGTAATCCACCGAGATAATATATTTTTTTAAAAACAAGACGGTTATTATTATTGTCAACTTTTTTTACCGGGGTTTACTGCTACACCAGTTACCGTGACAACCCTACATAGGATCACCAGAACTTAGGCCTGGGCGATAAATTGATTTAATGAATTAATTAGAAATTTTTGTTGTGGGCGATTAAAAAAAACATGTAAATCGAAATTGTATGTATTAGTGCCTTTTTGGCCCCCCGGAGCTTCCATAGCATTAGTTTCACCTAACCGAGACAACAACATCACAGCACGCACACAAAACAGCAACAGCAAGCAACTCCATGGCCACTGGTGAGAGTGGGAAGTTTGTTCCTAAGAAAGGAATTAAAACATCCGTTGTTAGGAACTGGTTTGGGTTTGCTGCGGTGGACGTGGAGCGTGACACTTTTATTCCAAGAGGGTGGTCATTTATTCGTTATTTATCTCAGAAATGAGCGTTACATTTGTCTTGCTTGTGATTAAATAAAAAACAAAATTGGCTCTAAGGTGCCTTCCATTTGTACTTATTGCTAATCTTAATAATTGAGGGGAAGAGAGAATCGGGAAAAAAAATCGTAAATCGAATAAAAAATAAAATTGGGGATTTTTATTTTTAGGCCATAACGCCCAAACCTACCAGAACCGGACTAGAAGCGACTAGAAAAAACCTTTGGTCCGGTCAGACTTTGGTGTCACCAACATCAAAGCATGGATCCACCCTAACTTGCTTCAATGCTTCAGGCTGCTGCAGCTGTTGTAATGATGTTAGGGGAGATGTTCTGGTCCCAGTTCGGACCCCTTAGTACCACCTGAAGCTGGTTTAAACACCACATCCTACCTGAGTATTGTTGCTGACCAGGTCCATCTCTCTATAACCACAATGAAACCCATCTTCTGAATGGCTACTTCCAGCAGGATGATGCACCAAGTCACAAAGCTCAGATTGTCTCTAACTGGTTTCCAGAATATGACCATGAGTTCACTTGACTCCAGTGGCCTCCATCTTGTTCATAACGTTTGGGATGTTTTGGAATGGGTAATCATGGATGTACCTGTGTGATGCTGTCATGTTGTGGTGAACCAACCAGAACCATTGAGAAACGTTTTCAACACCCTGTTGAATCAATGGCATGAAAAATAAGGCCTGTTCAACCTGATCCAAGTAAAGTATACATAATAAAGAGACCCAGCAGTGTTTCACTCCTGCGTTTGGTTACTTAAAAATGACCCTCGTCTCTTCCCATTGTGGTTTAATTTGTTAAATGAACTGACATGGACAACGAACGAACATTGAAATACCATTTCACACCTTTGATTTAAAGACATGTAGCACATCTTAATATCCAATTTTTATGTGTCTTTAAAGACTAAAGTATCATTTAGGTCAAATAACATTTCTGAACAGATTTTATAGGGATACTGTGTAAATTTTTCATATTTTAAAACCATTTTCTTGAGCCAGTATGGGCTAAAATGACCTTTTACATGGTCTTTAATCAGCAGTTTTATCTTATACCAACTGTACAGCTGCTGTTAGGATCTTTGGTAGATCATCAGCATGTCTTAATTCTGCAGGAGCTAATGCCGTTCACCCCTGATTAGATAATACATCGATGTATTTGTAACATCTGTTCTCTTAAACTGCTCCAGTCAGAAAGATAAACTTCATCTGGACACATACGTCTATTTACAAAGACATGCAGCATGCATAATGAGACGCACATGCAAACAGGAACTCAGCACCTGTAGGACAGCAGACATGTCTCCGTCTGAAACACTTTGAAATCAGAGCCCGTTTCTAAACCCGGTGACCTTAGTTCTGAACCCTAACTTTTGACCCCCTCAGGAAAAACCTTTCACCTCGGCAGCGGAGGTGGAGAAGGGGGAGGCGGAGGCAGCGGCTGCCAGCTTGGAGCCAGAAGTGACACCGGAGGAAGACGTGAAGGCTCGCCGGTGGGAGGCCATAAATGCTAAAGTTCTGGAAATTGAGAAGGTAGTAAGAGAGACTCCAAGATGTGACCCAAGTTCTGTGAATCCCCTTGACCTTTTGGTTGTTAATGATTTAACTTGACTATACTTTCTAATGGTTAGCCATATTTTTCATGTTGCTCAGATCACCCAGGGTAATGCAGCCGAGTCCAAGGATATCTATATACACATTTTTATTTTTAAACGACACGTAAACAGGGCAGTAGCAGTCATTCTAAGACATGGGTTAGACATTTTAATTACAAAATCTGTGAAAATTCTAGTTTTTAGAGTTCAACTTGACTGCTTTCCTAGTTTCATAGGTTTTCTCATTGGGTTGGTCGGGGGTTTAGTTTCCAGCCTCAGTTTGAATCAATTGCAGACCTTTTACTCACTAACTGAAGAAACAACAAAGGAATTACCTGTCTCCAGCACACGAGTGTGTCCAAATGTTTCCAGACTAAACTCTGACCTGAAGATTTATGTAAGAAACACTCTCAGCAGTTCCTTTTTGCTCAGTACGTAGTTTTGCAAAAGACTGGAATGTTTTAGCCCTGATGTACTTGACTCAACGCTGATCTCTTGTGCCATGGATTTACACGACCATTTCAAATCGGTTTTCTAGTGTGTTCAGGATGTCGGTTGTATTTAAGCAGCACGTTCAGATATTTATAGTGACTGAGAAACATGTTGTGTTCAAGAAAAGGACGACTTAACAGAAAATTCACCTCTTGTTGTCGGCACCCTTCCCCTCTCATTCATTGCTTTACGCTACACTACCACTTATCTGTTCCTGTAAAACGGGGCAGGAATTGCCCTGCAGGATGCAGGTGGCCCACCCACAATGTGGTTTGTCACTTGGCATTGGGGCACGCATGCTAACCCTGCCATTCCCAGCAGTTTCTCCAGCTGAAACCCTGACAGAGTCTTTACTGTAACATCTGGCCCAGGGGCAGCTGAGCTCACGTCACTCTGTTGCTGTTGTGGGTTGGCAGGCGGCACCCGACCTTGGAGTCCACAAAGATCTGGTTTGAAAGTACTGGTCCAGTTGAGCTGGTGTTCAACAAATCTGGACAAATCTGTACTGTTCTTGGGATTTGGGAGGGACTATTTTAAATAAAGCTAGATCATAAAAACATCTTAGAAAAAAACTTCCAAAAATGCTGTCACATTGTAGCTTGGTGCCTGGGAAGGATTTCCAGAAGAGTCCATTCATCATCTCCATCAGCGCCAAATGAAACGTATCCATTTCAACTATTAGCCGCGCCACTGAGAGATCCGGTTTGCAGCTCGAGTGATTAAAATGGCTGTTTTAATATCCCCTAATGTGTACCAGCCCTCACATCATTACCCTCCTTCCTTTATTATGCAGGACCCCTGCCTGCTCCGTTTGAACAGAGCCTCACTAAACGTCCATGTGAGAACTGCATGCAGTCCCCACCCCCACCTGGTAGTCCTGCACTCATGTTGGTGTGTTCACAATTTAGACCTCCGCAAACATCCGATTTAGGTAGAAGCCCACATTTTGAGGCCCCTCTGTAAGGACCCTGCTGTTGCCGGTCCTCTTGGGGCTCCGGTCCGTCCTGTGTGGCCTCGTAATATCAGTCCTACAGATCAGCTTACAGCTCCCAGTCCAAGGACACAACCAGTTTAGCAGAACCTCCTCACAACTTACAGAGCAAGCTCAGGTCAAAAAAACTTCCCTTTAGGGTTTTTTCAGTAACACGGAGGAGGTTTGTATAAAAATGCACAGCTGCGTTATTTATCTCATCCTTTAGCTTAATCTGGAGAAACTTCTTGAGTTTGTAGATAATCTGAAGGTTTTTGCTTTCAAGTGTGTAAAACAGAATCTGGAACATACTGGGGTTTTTTTAACTAAGCTGTAGTTTGGGGGGAAAGTGGGAAGGTTTTGTTTGGAAAGATGGCAAACATAATCAACACTGGTTTGTGGGGCAATCACCACATGTCTGTTTCTCCTTCAAACTTTTTTCTGACTCGCATCCTTACAATGTTTCTCTTCTTTGGTCCTTTACTCCTCTGGAGCAGTGTGATGCCACAGTTGGTCGTTTTCTTGACTCGTATCAAGTAGGTCACTGGTTCAAACGGCAGCTGTGGCCTTTCTGTGGTGGAGTTTGCATGTTCTCTCTATTCTCGCATGGGATTTATTTGGGTACTCCGGTTTCCCCTCACAACAAAAAAGCATGCATGTTAGGTTCATTAGAGACTTTAGACTATCCCTAGGTGTGAGTGTGTGTCCGGATGGCCCTGTGATAGACTGGAGACCTGTCCAGAGTGTCCATCTCTGCTGGTGTTAGGCACCGGCTCCCCGTGGCACTACTGAGGATAAATTCAGCCAAAGAGGGAAGAATGAAGAAACAGACATCACTGGGTCTGAGCTCAGCTGGCCACACGTGTTGTTAGTGTCTCACTTCCTCGTGGTCACGCTGAACACTATCATTACGCACGGCCACAAATTGGCTTGACATGATCTGCAGACATAAAAGCGTGCATGAGAGTCCCAAAACTCTCCCACAGTCTGGGGTATTTCTGTCAGACCTGACTGGACTGGCCTCTGTGTGTGTGTGTGTGTGCGTGTGCGTGTGTGTGTGTGTGTGTGTGCGTGCGCGTGCGTGTGTGTGCGTGCGTGTGCGTGTGTGTGTGTGTGCGTGCGTGTGCGTGTGTGGCTATGGTATTAATCGGAGTGGCTATTTTTTATTGTTTTGCAACAATTATAGTTAACAGAATTAAACTCTGCAAATTGAAAGACAAGAAAAACAAAAAGCCCTAAAGTGAGTGACAGTGTGCATTTCCACTATGATGGGTCTGTTATTTATTTTTCCCACCCACAGTTGGCCTACTCTGGTTGTGTGTAGATGTTGGGAGAAGACATCAGGTCTTGGACGTATCATCAAACAATTTTGTATGTTTAACTGCATTACTTTGTTCTTTTTACCACAGCAAAAGAGTTGTGTTAAAAACAACCACGAAATGCAGTCAAATAAGACATTTACCTGGTATTTGTTGCCTTTGTCAGGTGTTCTCTTTTTGGCTTTTGCTTCTCTGTCATACTAATAAACACGGTGGAGGGTTCCCATGTTTCCATCCTGATTGTTCCAGGTCCATCATCATACTGTTTGTGTTTCTTTGCCTTTCTCCTTGTAGTTGGAGTCCCGCCCTTCTGAGTTCTCACTCAGAGTTTGCCTCACTGTTTTTAAGACTTCTGCAGACCTGGAGAATATTTGTCTCAACATCTTCTGTTTGACTAGATGACATTCATATTTCAGTAAAACCTCTTCTTTGAGACTTGATCTTGCTAAAGACACGTGAAAGTCTCTTGAAAAGTGATACTGTAGTTTCCCTTCAAAATAAGCATTTTACGTTTTACATCCCGTGATTGTTGCAGCTTAAAATGTCTGATTATACAGAAGCTTTGAATTTTTGTTATTTTTTTCTGAGACCTGGTCAGGACAGCTGTAAAACATATTTTCTATCAGTATTTTTTCTTGAGGCTCATGAACTTTGAGGGAAACCCAGCAAAAAGTCAAAGAGCATTTTATCAATCAGGTGCGAATTACAAATAAAACTGTTTTTTTTTTTTTTTGGCTCATAAAATGTTATATGAGGTTTTTTTTCTTGCATTGTTGTGATCGGTCAAAGTTACACCCAAAATTTGTGTTAAAGAAGCCGCGTCCAACACTTGTGGCTACTGAGGTGTTTTGCCTGGAGTTACCCGGTTGAGGCGCTTGCTGATGTCCATTTGATCGCCAATGTTCTGATGTTCTTTGACGTATTTAATTAGAGATTATTGCGTTCACATACACCCGCCACTGTGGTCAAAAACCATAAGCTCTTCTGGGTTAGCACCTGGCATCAACAGTGAAGCACTTCCTTATATAGCATACCCAACACAATTAACAACAGAGATCACATATGAGCCAAACAAGAAGTACACCCATGTGATGAAACAATAAATACATGATTGGCTCCTACATTTGAGTAGTAATAGTTGCCACTGTAACATTACAACTTACCGAAGAACCGATTTTATCGTATTTGATGTGGTTTTCATGCACGTTTGTGTAGTCCTAACATTTTCAGCTCCATGTAATAACTTGTAAAACAGATAATAAAAATCTGCAGTTTTTAAAACTTGAAGGGTGAATTTTTAAAAGCTCTTGAGATTATTAAACTTTATGTTTTTTGTTGTCTGTTTTTCACTTTAGTGCCAAGTAATCTTTACTCTGGTTTAATGTTCTGATTCATCTCCAGACACAAGAATAACATGCCCATAAGGATTTACTGCTTTTCTACATGACCAATTAGCATTTTAACAAAGAAACGAATTGTGCATTCTCTGCCGTGTTAATTTAGCATCTTCATATATTTAATTGATCTGTTTGAACACACGAATCAGTTGTTATTTTAAAAAGTTGGGATACAGAAAAATGGTCCTGCGATTAAGTTAAAGGGAAAATCACTTTGGGGCCTGATTCTCTTGACCAGCTGGTGTGGCCTTAAAGCTCTCAGCAGCTCAGATGAAGGGCTCTGCTTTTTGTCCTCAGGTAATAAAGATGTTTGAGCATACACCTGGAACATCTAAAAAAACTTAACAGGTGTTTTTGGTAGGCAGTAAAGTCTGAGTGGGAAATGAAAGCTTGCTGCTAAGTGGTTTGAAAATACGCTTCAACACTCAAGACATCTCTTATGGGGCAGATGTGTCTCTAAATGCACACACACACGCACACACACACACATGCACGTGTGCCTGTTTTATGGAATACTTCAGTAACTTAAAACTGGATTCATTACATCTGTGGTCAGGTAGTTTTTAAAATTAAACAGCTGTTTAGGCGATACTTTGCCAATATTTTACCTAGAGAGAAATGTACAACAATCTGTTTTACTCCCAAATTCCTTCACTGAAGGACAATGAGATATGTTTCTATTCTGTTCTATTCTTGTCTATTCTGATCAATCTTGATGCATATACAAAGTTCCTGTTTAAATGGCCTTGCTCCTAGCTGTTTATCGGAGCGTCTCGTGGATTGAGGTCGGCTGGCCAGCATCGATTGGATGTCCCTAGGTCAAGGCTACAGAGAAGAGGTTTTAGGTCTTTCTCAGTGGCTGCACCTTCTTTGTGGAATATGTTGCCCGTCTCCATTAGGCGAGCGCCATCTGTTGCCATTTTTTAAAAGCTACTGAAGACCTATTTATACTCGACAGCTTTTAGTGTTCCTAGTTGACTTGGTAGTTCTGCTTTTTCCCATTTCTTATGTCTGATTTTTTTAATGTACTGTTTGTTATGTTTTTACTTGACTGCTTATATTTTTCTGTTGTTTAATGTCTAGGTTCAGCACTTAGGGCAACATTGTTGCATTTAAAGTGCTTTACAAATACACTTGATTTGATTTTTACTGAAGTACTGCCATTATGTTGTTTTGCTTTTATACCATGCCTAATACGATTATGTGTTTTTCAGCATTACAGACAGGACTGTGAGACATTTCGCACCGTGGTGAAGATGCTGGTAACCAAAGAGCCCAGTTTGGACACTCTGCTGCAGAGCTCGCTGGATAAGAATCTTCTGGAGCTCAGACAGCGCTGCCTTGAATCACTGAAGAATTTTGTGACTGAGCTGGATGAGATTTTAGAGCAGCCCGATAACTCCAATTAAGCCACTCATGTCATAACTTTAAAGAGATGACATGGACACAAGTCGAAAGTTATGGACAGAATGATTAAAAAAACTTGAATAAAACATGTCATAAAAGCATCTTGTTAAAGATGAGCCCAAAAACGTATTGCTTTTAAACTTAATAGCCCATTAGATTTATGTGTTGTAACCAGTATTTATTGGTATTGTAATCTAGGTCAAGTACAGATTCAGAGAATAATTACCTTTTAAACTGTAAACCTTTTGTTTTTTTCACTCTAAATGTGTCAAAACTGCTTAAGTCATTACATACAGGCGTCAACATGAACTGATACAAGTTACATGTTTTATATCTAAAGTGAAATAAGCTTTGCTGTTTATGTGAGACAGAAAACGGACCTTAGTAATATAGCTGTTTAGCTACTGAATTTAAATGAAAGCCTCTTCTCTGTATTGTAGTTACAATTTTACACATGTATTCTTTAATCCATTGCCTTTTTACTTTTTAATAATTCCTGTGCATTGTTTTAACTGAAAATGAGCTTCTTGTAGTTTTGATTCATAAATTGCCATTTTAAAATAAAAGAAGGGACTTATGAAGAAAAGTCTGTTTGTATTTTTTAGCATTTATTGTGTCTGTGTCAAAGGGAAAACACTATATATGGTTATTGTTATTACAGTCACCTACTATGGCCGTATTTTCCAGTTTGCACATTTATACAGGTTATATCGATTTGTCTAGAATACAATGACCCATTGATACACTTCTCAGTCAAACAATTTTTGCACACAATGCTTATACACAAGCCTAGGAACACAGGCAGTTTGTCATGTAATTGCCCTGTACCAACTGACAATAGTCTAATACAAATGCCATTTTGTTACAAAGCGTGTCAAGGGTACAAAAATAGCCATTTTCCCACTATAATTTATATTCCATACCAGCAATGTTAAATAAACACCGTTAAGCTTGTGTTTTATAAATATGTGTAACTCTGAAATACTTAACTGGTAGTTTATAATGCCACAGACGTGAGCTGGGTCTTACACAGCCACCTTTGTAAACTGCTGCAAGGCATTTAAAAGCAAGCAACCCGTGAGTGGCAGCATCACATCATAACTCAGTAAAACCTACGAAATTATACAGTTTTTCCCTTTGTGGCCCTTTTTCTTTTTGGACTTTGTCCATTGGTCAAAAGGAGGAGAAGACATGCCCACTACAGGTCGGGTCAAGTCATCAGTGTAGTAACGTCTGTGAGGCCTGGGCTGAGGTATGGGCTGACCCAGAAAAAAGCCCTCTTCTTCAGAATCAGAGGAAGAGGAAGAACATGTGGAGCACCAGTCATCTTCATCACCATATAGTCCCAAGAACGTCCCCCTAGCTGGGTTGTGTTGTCTGTAGTCCGACATGCCAGCAGAACTGGGTTGTCCATGAAAGAGTTGATGTCCCTTTGGTCCAAGGGCATTACCTCTATGGTCCACTTTGTAGCACGTTTGTGCTTTCTCCTTGGGCAGGAGATTAAGAGCATTGTCGGAGCGAGATTTGCGATTTCGACGTCTCCTGTGTTGGTGATTATGGTGACCAGACTGATGGTTCTGGCTGTGTTCCTCAAAGTGGTACACTCTCCTGCGAGTCCGTTCACTCATAGGGGGTTGACGCAAGGGAAGATCACCATAATGTCCATTGTCCATCACATCGTCAGAGAATTTGACTTGCTGCGGCCTAGAATGTGAGCGTGCTCTTCTCAAGGCAGGGACGTGTGGTTTGGGTCTGTCCTGTAAAGGTAACTTCTCTTCTCCCGAAACAGTTTCCTCCTCCTCCTCAAGACTTTTTAGGGAGTTTGCACTTCTATGCAACATTGAGGAGTTGAGGGTTCCCATATTACTGGTTTTCTCACAGTCTTCTGTCTCAAATTCATGGGGGCTTTGAAGAGAATATACTTGAGGTCTATAATCACCACACACCGAGGCTCCTGGAAGAGAGAAAAAAAAACATCAAATTGTTTCAAAGTAAACACAAGAAAGCCGAGGCATAACTATCAACGCATGTGTGACAGGTTCTGTTTACCCACCAGTAATGTTGGAGAGAGCAACTGACTCCATGGAGTCACGGCCGCTTTGAGCTGTTTTCTTGAATTCGTCTGTGATGCACTCCAAGGAGCCAGTGTACCATTGTGGTTCCTCTCCATGGAGACCTCCTCCAGCACTGTGATCCAGCTCCAGCTCCTGTATTTTTCTGCTGCTTGCTGGACCTGGATGGCTACCATAAGCAGAGTCCCCTAATCCATCCTGGGACTGCGTCCAGTACATGTCAGCTTGGTACTTTGTATTAAGCAAGACCCCACTCCTTGCTTTTCCACCACTGTCAATTTTTGGTGACTCCTGCTTTGAGTTGGCATCTTTTTCAGCTATCCAGAAATCCGTGGGTCTACAGTCCTTGTTTTGCTGAAACACCCCGTGTTCACCAAACTTTAATATCAGCTGAGTCATATAGTCTTCATGTTGAGCCCAATCCTCCTCTTGGTCCTCAGGCGGCTCAGTCTCTTCTCCACGACCCCTCCATAAATGCTCATCTGAAAAGTTCATGTGGGTGATCTTGTTAGTCAGTGTGTCCTCTACATTTCCACTCACACCAGGGAACTTATAGTTGACAGACGGCGAGAAGAGCAGCGACTGTCTACACTGGTCGGCTGAGCGACTGCTCTTCCCTAAGCGCACGCTGCTGCGGGACTCCCGCGAGCGCGCCGACTGGAAAGCCGAGTCGGAAGAATCAGAGGCATGCACGTCCTCCCCTAGAGTGCAGGCCTTCGAGCAGTAAATACCACCCTGGTAAGGCAGGAAGGGGCAACCAATCAGAGAACTCTTGCACTGAACACAGCTGAAACAGCCCTCAGTGGCATGCCAGTGTAGCCCATCGTAGGTCATCTGAGCATGATCAACACCTGAAAAAGAAGGAATGTTGAAACCATGAGCAAGTGTACACTTTTTTTTACCATTTGATATGCAAGGATTTAGTGGCTATTGTTTAAACTTCATAAAAGCATCTTCTTACCAATGTGTTCTCCACAGGCTTCACAATATTCTGCATAGAGAGACTCGAAGCAGCCACAGCAGTATGGTCTGCCCTCCTTCATGATATACCGCTGCCCTCCAAGGACTGTCTCGCATTCAAAACAGGAGAAGTGCTTCATATGCCAATGACGACCCTCTGCCTCAGTGCACTCATCAGCAAAGATGATCTTTGGGAGAAAGAAAACACATATAGTGGTTCAAGTCCCCCCTTTTTACTCAAGTACGGTATTTTTTGAGGTTGTGAAGAGAATGTTATTGCTATTCCAGAGAAATAAGGCCATAAATTTCAGGATATTTTCCCCCCAGCTCTTTGATATTTTCACAGTATTTTACACTCATACCTCATCACAGGCCGAGCAGCGTGGTTTGAGTAGCTCAGCATGGTGCCGTCCGCAGTGGATTTTTCCATCGTGGAAGAAGTAGATCAAATCCACCAGCAACTCGCGGCACGTGGAGCAAGCAAAGCAGGCCGGGTGCCAACACAACTCAGGACCCGCTCTTGAGGCAAACACTGCCATTTCTCCACTGCTGATGCTTTCACCACACTGTGATCAACACAAATACCTGGTTGTTAGTCACAGTTAAAGGTGTAGTTCACACATAACCTCTACATTTGCACAATTCTGGCTTTAAGACTTTGTTGCATAATATAACACACTTGCCCATTTGATCACATTATACATTTCCAAATTCTCATTTTGTCGACCGCCTGGCCAAGAAAAGTCACCACCTGGATTTAACTAAGCAAACAGGTACGAGCCTCCTATAGGATAATTACTGCGTGGGTGATTATCCTTCAGCCGGCATCAAGTTATGTAACCCCAACTGGTGCAATTAGTTGCTTCTCATTTCTTTAACAACCATATGGGATGAGTCCAGATGGACCCTGTTCCAGAGTGATGGTGCATCAGGGTAAGAAGAGAGGCAGAGGAAGTGATGCACCCATCATGCCTAGTGCCCACTGCACAAGCCTGTGGGGGCAGTGCTATGATCTGGGCTTGCTGCAGAATGGAAATAAGTCTTGTAACACTGCAGAGGCTTATCAATACCATGCCACAGCAAATGCATGCTGTAATCAAATCTAAAGGCAGCCCAATGAAATATTATTAGAGTGTGACCTTTTTTTTGGTGGCAACGTTTTTGTTATGGCCAAGCAGCGTATGCCAGTTGTAGTCCACAGGTGTATAAAAATCAAAGTCACATTTTTCCACGCCCGCCTTTTTAAAGAATGGATCCTGTCAACTATAATTAGTCAGCTCAAGCTTGCTCAGAAGGACAAAGTATCTTTTGACAGAATTGTGGAGAGCTAATTTTTTATATGCTTTGACACTGATTCATGGTTATTCTCTGGCTGCTGCACAGTTTTTGTAAATACTACATTGAACACGCTCCAGAGCTTTTCTTGCCGACTGAGCATGCTGGTAAAGGTAGTTTCATGGTACGTGGCTAAAATTTGTAAACTTAGTTTAAATAGCATGTTTGACTGAGATTTGTATTTTCTATTTTAGCTCAAATCTGTTTTTTATACATAGCATGAAAAGCAAGGTATCTTTCATTAAAAAAAACTGTATGTGGACTTTTGAGTTTACAGCAGCTTTTTAAGCTTTACCATATATGATGCTTACAACTTACATGTTCACAAATGCTGTTCAGAAGATTTCGGGGCAGCAGTTTCACAGTGCCTCGGCCCAACGCTTCCTTCTTCCTCTGCACACTAAACATGCGTAGCTCTTTCTTCTCTTCCTCAGAGAGTGCCTGGCAGTAATGAATCTGAAAAAAAGATGCAACAAGCATTTAAGAGTCAAACTTAAACACAGAATAGTCTAATTCAATTTTTTTGTGCTGTTGTGTAATTTTTAGAAAACACTAGATCAGGGGCCCTCAACTAATTTTGTTCAAGGGCCAGAGTTTTTATTTTTTTTTGTTTTTTTCAAGTATTGTTGAACCTGAATTTATTAATATTTAAAATGACTTTGTTTTCATCTAAAGTGTTTGGATTGTAGTTTTAGTTATGTTTAAAAAACAAAAATAATGATTCATATTTGGGACATGAACTTTGCTTCTAAACTTCAAAGTTCCCCAGCTGAGGGGCGTGAGGGCCCTAAGGGATGGGGGGCCGGGTAGGAAGGTCTGGCGAGCCGTATTTGGCCTGTGGGCCATCAGTTGCACTAGATGATATGAATATAGCTTTAAATGATACTTTAGAAGCAGGTCTCAGTTGAAACGTTTAGAACAGTTGATATAAAACCTGTTGGAGATAGCTTTATGAGTGACCCCTGTTTAGGGGCTGTTCAGACTAATAAGCTAACAGCTAGTTGCAGTGGGGCCAGGTTATAAAGTAGATTACTGGATTCTTAAAGCCAATCTTAAGAACTTTGTGTAATTCATGCAAACAGTTTTAAAAATGTTCACATTGCTGCCAATTTACCTTATTTTGTTTTTACAGAACTCAGTAGGTATTTGCTAGCACTATTGACAGCAGAAGCAGATAGCTGTAGCATTTTTGTTGCTTCCCGAGACCCTTCTGGCAGGAATACCCTATTCCTGTTTTATTAACTGTTGTTTTGTTTTAAGATGTCAGCAATCTACATTAGCTCTTCTCAAACTAGCCTTTAGCTTGTCAGTCTAGTCAGAATTAATCCGTGACTTTCAAACAAAAATTATTCAAATAGTCATCTCCAGTAGCCGGGAGAGTAAGTGTTCACAGAGACAAAATGCTGATCTAAACTGCTCATTGAAGTGCAAGTCATTTATTAAGAAAACCAGAACTGAAAGAACGATAAATGACCTGCACTTGTTAAACACCTCTCTGAGTCAGAGGACTCCAAAGTGCTTTACACATTTTCATTCACCCATTCACACCCTGATGGCGTTAGCAAAATTGTACTCACAGCTGCCCTGGGGCACACTGACAGAAGTGAGGCTGCCAAAAACAGGCACCGTTGGCCCCTCTGACCACCATCAGCAGGCAAGTAGGGTGAAGTGTCTTGCTCAAGGACACAACTGACAGAACCTAGGTTTGTACCAGCAACCCACCGATTACATGGCAAACTCCTAAACCCTAAAGCCACCGTCGCCCTGAAAAAAGACAACTTTGACCCCAGTTCACCTTTCCTAGACCCAACAACAGATCTCCTCCCACAGTCCCTGGCTGAGCAGCTCATCTTTATAACTGTCCTTTTTGATGTTTCCCAAAGCCTTAACAAGAGGCAAAGCAGACGTTTACACAGGACCTGTCTTTAGAGTGAAGCCAAGAGGAAGGAGGACAAAGGCAGAGAGACAGCCAAGTCGAACTTTGGTGCCACTGTGTTGGTGGTGGCATCACATAAAGTCTCTTTCAAGCTGTATCCCTCCCTCCTGCTGAGCAGGCCTCATAAAAAAACACTGCTATGACAGGAATCCTGCTGGTGGGGGCTTCTGGCAAACATCATAAAATCATCAAGTCAAAAGTCGCATTGTGCCCACACTACACGTCTTCAAGACAGTGGAACAAAAATCCCCTGGTGGGTTGTCAACACAGATGCCAAGGGCCTCACACTCATTTGATGATACGGAGACGGTTTAACACGGGATTTGATGCAGCTACTCAAACAACAGGCAGCTGTTGTGTAAATGAGGGAAGTTGTATTATGGCTGAATTGGTTGACATGTTCTCACCTCGTTGTCATGTGGCGGCAGTTGGTAGAGGAGCTGCTTGATTCTGAACTTCTCTCCTGGACTGTTGACATAAGGGATCTTCTCCTCAGGCAGGCAAGAGAAATACAGCTGGACCTGGACCAAATCATAGCAAAGAAATCCATTCAAATACATGATGTTAATCATCCATGACCTTTCAACAATGGGAACAATACGGCATGTTTAGCCTTTCCTCTCAAAAATGTGAAAACATTCAATTGTTTTACAGATCAGTCCCTGCTAAACCAAAGCAGCACGCAAACTCAAAAGAGTGAGTTAAAAGTAAGAAATGCTATTGGCTGGATAGATGTTGTCATTTTGTACGAGTGAGTGTTTTTAGGTGCACGTTACAGGCTGTCAACGTTTGCAACACAAAAGTTGTTGTTTTGGACATTTTAATCCCAAAGATTTGCCAGTTAATTATTACAAATCTAAATACTGCCCATTCATTCGTAAAAATGCCTTCAACTTTTCAAGCAAACATTTTTAATATCAACCGAAAATACATATCTAAAGGGAAGATTTTTAAAACTACATTTATACCCAGTTTTTATTAGTTTATTTGCAGCAATGTAACTTTTTTCCACGTGATCCAACCCATAACTTTAAGAGAAAGCCCAATCTGTGACAGCTGCGTGTGAGATCCGTGGTAACCTGACTTTGAGATATCAGATTTAGTTAACTAGACCTATTTCAGAGGACAGCCCATTGGTATTTCATGATAAGCAATGATTCTCCTCATAAATCTACTCTAAAGCACTCAAACCAGGTCAACAGGTCACATCAGTTTAACAGTTGTATTTGTCAGTCATAAGCTTGTCGTATAGGGACAGGACAAAGCAGCTCGTTATGATGGGATCCTCACCCTGGGGGCTGGTCGCTGAAATCTGAACTTTATGAGGTAGGGCCAATTACACTCAGTCAGATAAAGAAGTAGGATGAGCCTGCCTAGCGTTGTTAGACTCCCTGCAGTTTGGGGCACCTGGGGGGCAAAGGGGGCAGTTTACCCCCACAATCAACCCAACACCCGTAAATTATGCACATCCTTATGCTGCTATTACCCCTCATCTAGCTCCTTAGGGCCCAGGGAACAGCCAGCCATCACCTATCTGCTCCTACACTGTAATGATGACCCCTAATGCACAGCCCATTTAGAGAATTGGCTGCAGTAAAGACATTACATTTGACCTTTGCATTTCCACCAACAAAAGGCCATACATGTTAAAGCTTTTTTCTGCTTTCTCAGGTCCCATCGCCCACTCATTGCTTCCATGTGTGGTGTTTAACGGGGTGGAGAAAAGCTGGAAGCAGGAGAAGAAAAGGAAAACTGCAGTGACTTTGGGACTGCCCTGCGGACACAAACATCAGTTTAAAACAACCTTCCTGACCCCCTCCGACCACGCCAATTTCTGTTAATCACAAAGAGACTGTAATACTGCGATACACACATAAAAGTTCAAGAGCCTGACAAGTAGACCTCATAAAAATCAGCAGTAGGAAATATGTTCTCCATCCCATAGGTGCTGTTTTCATAAGACTTGGTGTGTTATTCATAAATGTGCTGAATGCCATTTATCTGGGCCATGCAAATGGGCTATGAGGGAGTTAGAATCAGGTCACGGCTGTTTTTACTCTCTTTCAGGGGAATACACCATCAGTCACTGTGGTGATCTGGAGATTAAATGATTTGTGAAGTGGAGAAACGGTGATACTGCAGCAAATGTTTTCATTCTCAAGGCCTGTTTTACTCAACAAGGTCCAAACCAAAGCGGGCAAAACCAGTCGTGCCTTATCGGCAACATTCTCCTTACCTGTTCAGGTCGTAGGCCGGGCGGTACCCAGGCGTACTCTTCCAGCACGCAGCCTGAGTCATCATCCGATGTGGAGCTGCGCTGAAAGCCAGAGGTTAGCTTGCTGACCTTCTGCTCCATCACGAAGTCCCGTTGGTGACGCTGGAAGCCAGTTGCTGGCCCTGCTGCACTCATCAGGCTCACTGGACTCTCTTTTTACTAAACAGACAAGGAGAGAAGAAGAAATTGGAAAGAAATGATAAGAAAAATATTTTCAAGGGATTGTCGAGAAGCTGAATCACCTCTTTCATGAGGCTCGGTGCATCTGTGTGTGCTTTTCTTGGCTCCCTTCTAGACAAGTCTTACGTCATAAAGACACTCATAAAGTAAAGCGCATCGTTTCACTGTTACTGTGTGGCAGCTTAACATGTCACCTTCTCATGTGGCTTATGTGGATGAAGAGCCCATTTGGAACATCCCCAAACATCACAATGTAAAGTCCATGACAAGAACAAGCAGTTTCACATTGGTTTGTGCAGTAGGTCCACATTACTGAGATGCTATCCCCTCTGTCCCAAGAGGGGGGCCACCTCATGAGATCTGATGCTGGCTTGTGTCAACACAGGGCCGGTTTGAAGACAGGCTCACCATATGGGGAATGTTCGCAAACCAGCTTTTTTCCATTCATCTCTCTTTTTTCCTTGGCTTGTTTGTTTTCTAACCTGCTGCCGTGAGCGTCTCATCGCTCTGCTTATCTTTGAGTTGAACAAAGCCATGCCAGACAGGTGAAGTGGTGAGGAAAGAGAGGGTTGGGGGTGACTGATACTGACAATGCACCAACAGGCAAACAACTTGGGCTGGAAGATCAAAGGCTGGAATGGTGGTGACCTACGTGTGTGGCAACTACCGTTTCTCATCGATGTCAAAGAATCCACATGTTGCAGACGTAGGATTTTGTTTGCCAGAAAGTTCCTGATGCTGCTGAAATTTGCAGTAAGTTATTTTTGGTTTCGGCCATCATCGAGTCTGTCACACTGAACGGTTGCTAATGAAAACACACAACCAAGATTTCCTCAGGATTCTATCATGGTGGGAAATTTTGCCCAACAGCATCCAACTCATCTAATGTTGAGGTGTGGAAAGGTTGGAAGCCTAACCCAGCAGTTGTTTGATAATTAGTGTAAACGCTGTCAGCTTATTAAAAGTCAAACACCGAACAGCTCTCATTTCAATTTAGGATTTAACGAAAGCTCGAGCATCAAAGGAAAACAAACGGGGAAATATGCAGAATGTCCAGCTACAATTCCATTAAACAGCTTTATATAAAACTTAAAAAAGACAAATTTACATTCAAACTAAACTAGTTAGTACATTTCTAAACCAGATCACTGCAGTAACACTACCATTTAATCTTAATGATGATTAACTGTCAGGCTTTTAAGGACCATGGAGATGACAAACGTGTATCCAGTTGTGGTCACTTCTCACAAGCCGAGGACTCCAGCTGAGATCAAATGAGAGTCCAGCAGCCTGGTTCTTCCCCCCTCCCCTCCCCCACCCCCCTTCAAGCATCCACCCCCCATGGCTGGTAAAGGCGCAGAAGGCCAAAGGGAGAGACAGCTGAGAAAACCAGACACAGAGCAGAGCAGCCTTTCAACACATTCAAAGAGCCAAAAATCAACGCTCTCAATTAGACTCACACATATGTGCTTGGATTCTTTCATTTCCAGGGAATGGACACAAGTTTTGCAGTTTTAAAACGGGTTATTCTGCAGTTGAAAGTCATATTGTTCAAGGGCAAGTGCACTCCCGTGGATTTGCAACAATCTGACCAGCAACGGGATGGATAACATTTGTCGTGGCTTCACTCATGTCCTTGCAGCTCAGGTAGATGTAGGCCTGACATGTTGAAATAAACTGCCTCTGATGTTCTCAACAATGGCACACTTGTGAGAGGATCCACAAGAGGCTGCTTCAATCAGCAGTGTGCTTAGCCTGTTATTTTTAAATGTGTCTCTCTTGAACTGAAAGTTTGCCACGTTGACTCCAGATACGTGACAGTAAAATCCTCCAAACTGCGATAAAATGCCTTCAGCCAAGAGCACAGGCCAAGAAATTAGACGTTCATTCCAGTATTGACTTGAAAAATGAGTCCAAAATAACCTGCAAAAATGTGGCGTTTGAGGGCAGATTGGGTTTCACGTGGGGGAGATGGTTAAGTATACTCAGGTTCATATAAAACATGTTCTATGAAAGATGCTGCACAGCCAAACTTGAATAACAGGAATGGCAGGCTTGAGCGTTAGCCCCTGGCGGGTAAACATGGCTCATTTAGAAGTAAAGCTTCTTGCTCATATGACCACATCTGGTGGAATGCTGATTTTTCTTTAAGATGTCCAGCAGATAATTTCCTTTCCCTTTACAGCATGACCAACAAAGGCACTGCTCCAGCTAATTTGTTTTCACCAACTCATCAGTCTTGCTCCAAACAAGAGATCCATGGTTTGTAAAATTACTTTTTAAATCCCCCTTCTCAGTCTCTGTCCCACCATTCCTGCCCTCCTCCCACACGTTCCAGCCCCCTGCAGTCCTGAATGTTTAACAGTCCCTCACTCTTTTGTAGAGGAGCTTGTTAACATGGCTGTGGAAGCTGCAGGCCTGCATATGTGACTGATCTGCCCACAGAGGGCTGGAGGGCAGTGTGGGAGGGTGCAATCAGACCAAAGCTCAAACAGGGTGTCCTAACATGAATGAAAATGTTAATTTATTGCTCCACAAAAGAAGAGGAAGTTCAAATCAGGTTAGGTGAGGGATGAAAACTTGAACATACATCCTTGCTTTGAACGATTTCAGTCGACAGATCCGACACCAAGCTTTGTGAGACTGAAAGGATGCATGTGTTTGATTGAAAACATGGACAATGACGCTTATATTCCTAACGAGTTTACTCTGACAGGCTCTTTCTGAATGAGTGGGTGCAAACGGGATTCATTGGAGAATCAATCAATCAATCAATCAAAGCTTTATTTATAAAGCGCCTTCCGCAACCCTGTCAGGAAGCCCAAAGCGCTGAACATGGTACAGTTGTAAGTAATTATACTGAATAAATCAACAATAAAAGAAATTCAAATTACAAAATACAAATTACAAAATACAAAATGGAAATAACAAGATAGATGACACATTCCGGTAAAATACAAATGTGTGAAACACAATTGGATTGAGTGGATGGATTGAGTGTACCAATGAAAACTGTGGAATGGATTCAACATAATAGAGGGCCATAATCAAACATGTTCTGGAAACGCCAAGCGGAGGAGGTGTGTTTTTAGGTGATTCTCAAAGACTGGCAGAGAAGGGGACAGCCTAACTGAGGGAGAAGAAAAACAGTGACCTTCTTGGCCGTTTAGAGGCCAGTGTCTGGCTGTGCTGTGTGACAACGCTGCTAACTACCCTGTCATTTGTCACTCAGTGGTGCACAAACTTTCAAAGGATACTGCAAGTGAATATTAAACACAGAGAACACTGGCATTTTATAAACTGGACTCAACAATTCTTAAATCAGAGTCAAACCAAGAAGACTCAGACGTAAGAGACTTGGGTTTACAACACTTTTGAGAGCTTACAGGAAAAATGGCCAGCTTCTGGTATGAATTACTGTCTCTATTCCTCTAGGTAGTGGGTGATGGACAAGCACACAACCTAACACAGTGCTCTCTGTCAGTTTGGACCAACCCAGCATGTTTAACTTGGCCTCGGCTTGCTCCACATTGCACCACTGGCTATAGAGAAAAACACTATATTATCTACTGTGTAACCCTAACCCACTGCCACTTTTTAAGAGGGTATTTTATTCTACTAAAATAGTGTGTATCTTATTAAATACATTCAACATATGATGAGGGCAGGAGCAGATTCACTACAGTTACATCCGTGTGTGAACCAAAGCCTCTCCTGTTAAACTTTTAAATGAATGATTTTTATTTCCTCCACAGGAGTAAAGCAACTGAGCCTCATAACACGCAGAACAGAAAGACAACATTCAAGATCACTGTCTTTATCCTTAAAATGCCATTTTACACCAAGGACTCTGGCCTACTTTCATGGCCAGATGAGCGTTTTCACGAGACCAAATGGATGAGTGTGATGCCCCCAGCGTAGATCTGCATTGGCAGGATCGTTTAAATACACCAACCACGCTCCACTCACAACTACTTCTGTCACTGAGTCATCAAATCACAGCCGTTAGATGACAAACTCATAAAAATGAACTTTTTAGAGGATGATGCTTCATAAGAACTTCAGCAAAGATGAGAAATTGCTCCCACTTTGAAAGTCACAAAGTCACCAAACTCCAGGAAACGGGTCTGATCACAAAAGTTATGAAAGGATTAGTCACAATGCAGTGATTTTGCCAAGTTGTTAGTTTATTAGTGAAATTAAACTTCCAAAGGTTGCCTGCTGTTCTTACCTCTAGGTAGGCTGACTCTACAAAGGTAAGCAGGATAAAGATCCCATCACCACTCTATCCAGCCCTAGATTCCTTTCCAGCCTCTTGGGCCCATATCCATAAAAGATCCAGTGAGTTCTGAGACCAGGACACGAGCAGCCAGCCGTCTGCACCAGAGATGTCAGCACATCCCATATCAGGGCTAAGTCAGTGAGAGGTTCCAGTGATGTCTGAGTACATGGGAGAGTGTTTCAGAGGTGTGTGTGTGTGTGTGTACATGAAAACCCCAACCAGATCCCACCCTTGCCTCCTTCTTGCTCACCCCCTCCAACCTTCTTAACCCTCAGCCCGGCCCCTTTAACGTCAGAGCAGCCAGTCACGGAGCGGACGGCAGAATGAGGCGTCTCCTCGTTCGTGACTCCTCCTCTCATACTTCAAACACATGCTCGCAAATTAGAACCACCGGCAGACAGTGTCAGGATCTGGGCTTTAAAGTAGCACATCGGTGATGGCAGGGCTCATTTTACCGCAGGAACCACTTCGTATCCACAACTGCTTTCACATGGCATTCTTCATAAACCCCCTCCTCCCTTTCACAAGGGAATACTAGAGTTGGTTTTTGGTTTATCCCATGATTTGTCTTTCATTTATCCTGTGCTGGAATGTCCCCAGGAGTTTGCTGACTCAATAAAACCAGATAAAATCATCTGTCCTGTCAGCTGTCAAAAAACTGTATTATGAAATGGCAGCAAGCAAGCTGCACTAAAATCCTCTCTGTATAGATACGAAGAGCCTATAACTCCTCAGGAGGGATGCCGTTGACCCCGGCCTCTCCTTCACCCCTACAGGAATGCCAGAACATTTTTTCCCCTTTCACTCCTTTAACACTCTGAAGGCAGGCGTTGGGAGATTTGCAACGTTAAAACCTACCTGGTTACGCCACATACGTATTTCATGAGCATTTTTTTAACCCAGAAGTAGCCCTGAAGTACTTAGTTGTTCGTGTTTTCATCAAAAATAATTATTATTTTGAACCTGAGAGGGTTAACACAAAGGTGAGCAGTTTGGGGCAAATTCTGCTTTTAATGATTGTTTAGTTGCCGTTTTAAAGTTACTTCTACCCAAAAGGAACATGTTTACAGGGCACATAAATATCTCCTTAAAAAGTGGAAGCCATTTTTGTTTTCTCATCAAGGTTTCACTGTAGACTCAGTTAGCAACGTGAAAACGAGGAGAACTTTTCCCTTTGGAAGCGAAGAATCTGCTCAGAGCAGTCAGAACTGCTTTCTTTATAATCATCTTAGCAGCTGTGTAATTTGGTGAATATGATGTCAAGGCCTGACTGAACTGTTGTTTTTTAACTGTATTTGATGTAATTTAAGCTCCTATGTGGAATTTCTGTACAAAGTTAACAGGTTATGTTGAACTAAATACAGCTAATTACTGTGAGAGCTTCAGCTAGAGAACATGGGAAACATGCAGCCTTAAGCCTAGTTTATGCTTCTGTGTCAGGGACGGATGCACACGCGCTGAAACGGACCTCTTGCCTCTGTTTTTTTTTTTTTGAGTGGCCCTTGGACCATTACAATTGAGGACCCCTGATTTAGCTGCTCCGTGTCTGCCACTAGATGTCTTCTGGTCTCTTTTTATTTTTTGAGGGTGCAATAGCGGTGCTGTTCATGAACTTAAAGGAAGCTGCACCCTGTGCAGTCCAAGATTTCAGAGAGCCAAACCACATTATATGTCTCGCTTTAGCAGGACATGATAACATCACTAGTAAACTTGAAAGCCAATGGATACCCATGACTACAACGATGAAAAGAGAGAAAAGTGCCAGTGTTAACTCTTCAATTATTAAACTCCAAACCAAACTCCAAAAATCAGTGGTCCACATGTTCTTGCAAGTAGCCACTGCTGCTACTGCTAATCTCGTCCCTGGGTTTTCATCTCACTCCCTGGGTGTATTTTCACTGGTGGATCGCAAATGGGAGGCATAGGTTTTGAAGCAGTGCTTGAAGACTGGTGGAGGCTGACTTTGGTCTCGAGAGTGGTCAACAAGCTGTCACTGGGCAAGTCATGGATTTGAAAATCACCTTCACGTTCACTGTTTTTTTGTCCCGACTCTGTACACCGGGAGGGATTTTTCTATAGAAACCCTAGGACCGCCCGGGCATTTGGGACAGAAGCAGCCCTCGGCTGATCTCTTTCTGGTCCTCGAGCCGTCAAAACACTAAATAATCTAAATTAAGACTTTTATTGAGGAATCCTAAGGTAAAATAGAGATAGTATTATCCTTCTGCCTGCTTCTCAATGAAGGTGCTGTCCAAGTTGTGGAGTCAAACAGACCTTGTGACTTTATTGCAAGGGTAGAAACGTGTTTATTTTTACAATTAGACTAAGGAAACATGCCACGGAAATGTCTCTTCTTGCTAGGTTTTCGTAAGTTCATACAGGTAAGCTCAGTGACTGCAGGTCAGGAGAGTCAACCAAGCACACTAATTGTGCTCCATACATAGTAATTGTATAGAAAGAAGAAAACAGCCCTAGAAGCATCTTTAAATAAAAATTCTTGACAATTTTTATCTTGCAAGGTAATCGAATAACCACAACTCACATACATGTCTTGCAAGCAAATGACTAAATCAGAATAACCCTCTAAAATAATTTTTGTCCATCTTTGAGTTTGTGACAAACTGGTAGTGAATAGCTGCTAGCTTCTAAACAAATCAGAATATTATATTGAGGATGATTCTCGTTCACTATCATTTATGTTTAAATTAGCCACAGCCCATATTTGAAGGTACCACCATTAAAATTATTTTATATTTGAGCTTTGAATAGAAGAACGGACAGGTGTGCATTTACAAAGTACACCGTTGAAGTGCATCTATAGCTGTTTTTACAATTTGCTGCAACGCTGTGGCGGCATCAGGGAGCTTTAAGTCGTTTATAAGTGGTCGCAACAAATGATTGTGTCCTTTTTACAAGAGATTGGGCGATGGCGGCATAAAGAGGGTATGGGGCAGTCTCTGTGCTGCTGCTGACATCCGCTTATCTTGGACATAACTTTCTATTTATTGTGATCAAAGCCGCACTCATTACGTTTTTTTAAAAGCCACTCCTAAAGGTGTCTGTCCTCCACTGTCCCTATGCAGTCTCTGGTGATCTGAGCTCCAGCTCTAATGGAGAGGAGTTCCGGGAGTGCTGCATTGCTCCAGTTTGCTGGTTCTCTTAACATAAGCAAAGCTTACTGTCCATATTCACTTTCACTTTCAATATAATTACTGGCCAGAGCTCAGCAGTAACTCCCCATGTGATCATGATGACCTCCCTCTGTTGTGCAAAGGTGCAATACTATGGAACTAGCATTGGGACAATATTACATGTAACTTGTACCAAGCTTTGTAACCTGTAACATGTTTTGTAACTGTAACTTTTGTTTTGTAGCATGTAATTCTTGTTTTGTAACGCGTAACTTCCATTTTGTAACTTGCAGAAAACAATCAATGTACAAGTTTCAAATCACAACTCTCAAAACACACATTTCAGTCTACAGTTACAAAACTCAAGTCTACTAGGCTATGGTGGCTGTGGGGCTGAGCTGAGCATGCGCTGTCGGCCGATCACCGGATACACGGCAGCGTTTGAAGCTGATGACAGCTCGTTAACAAACATCCACAAACAAATAAGATGCATTTTCGTCTAATTTATCTACTGACAACGCAAAAAATAATCTGGAACGTATAACTCACTCAACCTGGAGGTAAGTGGAGAAAATTTAGAAAGTTTACAAAACTATATTGACGGAGTTTTTGAGTTTTTCGTTATGGGTCCGAAGAAATCAGCAGCTGAGACCGAAACACCTAGGACCAAGAGGAGCCATCCTCAGGACGCGCCTGAGGCCTCATCTCCCCATAAGGACATATTAGAATTATTAGATTCTATAGATAAACGGCTTCTGGGATTTGAGGGGCGACTTCATCTGCTTGAGGTTCTACACCAGGAGTCTCAGAACCTCTGAACATCTTTGGAGTTCAGCCAGGAGCAGGTTGAGCAGCTCGCTGCTGAGAACACGTCTCTGCGGGAGTCCGTTTCTTCCCTGGAAGAGGGAATGACGCGGATCACCCAGGACAACAAGATTCTGAAGGAGACAGTTTTGGACCTTCATGCCCGTAGCATGAGGAATAATTTGGTGTTCGCAGGCCTGCTGGAGCAGGAGGGAGGGGCGGAGAACTGCGAGCATACAATAAAAAACTTTCTCCAGACCCAAATGAAGATACCTGAAGAAACGGTAAAAAACATCACCTTTCACCGGGTACATCGCCTTGGAGCTAAAAGAGTGGACAGCAGAAGACCTCGTCCCATCGTGGCTAAATTTGAACATTTTAAACAGAAGGATCTTGTCACGGAAGACAGCTCAAAGGAAAAGACTTCAGCGTAAATGACCAGTTCCCTAAGGAAATTCTGGATCTGCGCAGCGTACTCTTTCCGCTGCGCAAAAAAAAATATCCAGGGTGGGAAGAGGGCTGTCATCTCGGTGGATAAGCTTTATGTGGACAATAAACTTTACAAGGAGCGAGGAGTGACAGACTGGCTGTATTAGCCCAACATCAGGTCAGACATTTATTATTCTTATCAGAATTCACTGGGTCTGAGCATGTCAGGATTAAACAGCTGCTAAATCCCTATCCTAGATGATGAGATCACCTGTTCATCACCGGTTAGAGCTGTTGCCTTGTAGCAAGAAGGTCCTGGGTTCGCTTCCCGGCCTGGGATCTTTCTGCATGGAGTTAGCATGTTTTCCCTGTGCATGCGTGGGTTCTCTCCGGGTACTCCGGCTTCTCCCCACAGTCCAAAAACATGACTGTTAGGTTGATTGGTCTGTCCAAATTGTCAGGTGTGAGTGTGTGTGTGCATGATTGTTTGTCCTTTGTGTCTCTGTGTTGCCCTGCGATGGACTGGCTCTCTGTCCAGGGTGTACCCCGTCTGGTTGACCATTGACCGCTGGAGATAGGCACCAGGCCCCCCCCTCCACTTATACTTGGAGGCAATATTAATTTTTGGATGAACTCTTTTAACAGACAGGCTCAGTACAGCTGGGACTCAGCGCAATTGGCAATCCACTAATATAGTTAAACAGTACATGAGTGATTATGGGCTTTGTGATGCATGGCGATCTCTTCATCCTAACCGTAGAGAGTATACTTTTTTTCACATGTCCATCACTCTCATTCACGTTTGGATTATTTTCTAGTCAGCAGCTCATTGTTGGCTGACATTTCAGACACTGAGATACACCCCATAGCTGTAAGCGACCATGCTCCGGTTTCATTAACTCTGGTAAATAAGAAGACAATCCCACCAAGCAAAAACTGGAGGTTTAATACATCACTGCTTAAAGACGAGGTTTTATTGAATTTTTTTTTAAAAAGGAGTGGGCTTTATATTTAGAACATAATGACCTGCCTGGAACATCAGCATCTATTCTCTGGGAGGCAGGAAAGGCAGTGATGAGAGGTAAAATAATCTCTTTCTCATCACATAAGAAAAAAACAGAAATCAAACGTATTCAGGAGTTAGAAGAAATCATTAAGTCTTTAGAGGCATCCACAGAAGAAGAGTTACTGGGCAAATTACGTAAAGCTAAATTAGAACTTCACAGAATTATTGACAAAAAGACAATTTTTAGTACAAAGACTGCGGATAGAAAACTTTGAACATAGTAATAAATCAGGTAAATTTTTAGCTAGCCAATTAAAAATAAACGAAGAGAAAACTACCATATCTGCTGTTAAAGACTCAACCGGGAATATATGACCCTGAAAGCATAAACAACACTTTCAGACACTTTTACCAAACTTTGTACTCACCACAGATGAACCCATCAGATAACAAGATCAATGAGTTCCTTGACAGGACAACGCTTCCTAAATTATCAGACAGCCAAGTTACAGTCCTGTACTCACCACTAACATTAGCTGAGCTCCAGAAAGCCCTTAAATCCACGACTAATAGGAAAGCTCCAGGTCTACACGGGTTTCCAGCAGAGTTCTACAAAGAATTCTGGATCATTCTGGCTCCAATATTTTTCAGAATGATGAGGGAAATCAAAGAGAGTGGCAGATTACAGCCAAACATGAATTCAGCCAATATTAGTCTCTTGTTAAAACCAGGCAAAGACCCTGCATTTCCTACCAGCTATCGCCCAATTTCCCTTATTAATGTTGATCTCAAAATAATTTGTAAAGCCCTGGCAAAAAGATTAGAGAAGGTAAACCCCTTCATAATACACCCTGACCAAACTGGTTTCATCAAGGGTAGACAGACATCCACAAACTCCCGTAGATTACTTAATTTGATAGATTTCTCTTACAGTAGAAACATAGAAACTAGTGTATTATCTCTAGATGCAGAAAAGGCTTTTGATAGAGTTAACTGGAAGTTTTTATTTGCAAATTTACATAAATTTGGTTTTGGGAACTTCTTCATAAACTGGCTACAAACATTTTACAGTTCACCAATTAGACAGGACAAACGACCAAATATCAGCTAGCTTCTGTCTTCAGAGGGGGACCAGGCAGGGATGCCCACTCTCCCCCTCACTGTTTGCTAACTTTATCAAACCACTAGCAGCAGCAATTAGGCAAACAACAGGTATTAAAGGGATAAAGTGTAATAAAATAGAACATAAGATCAGTCTTTATGCAGATGATGCTTTACTCTTTCTCCGGAATTCTCTATCCTCTCTCTCCCATTCAATAGAACTGATAAACTCTTTTTCAAAAGTTTCAGATTACTCTATAAACTGGTTAAAATCCACAGTTATACCAATTAATTTCTCTTTTGTCAATTTACTTAATACACAATTGGAGTCAGGGAATATCACATACCTGGGAATTATTGTCTCTCCCAAGTTGGCAGATCTAACCAAACTAAACTACATCCCACTTTTAAAGAAAGTGGAAGATGATCTTGCAAGATGGAAATCCTTACCGATATCACTCATGGGGAGAGTTGCTACAATTAAAATGATGGTCTTACCCAGAATAAATTACTTATTTTCAATGATCTCATACAAACCACCAGCTGACTGGTTCAGATCTCTGGACTCCTTAATTACCAAATTCCTTTGGCAGGATAAACCTCCACAAATTAGCTTAAAAACGCTTCAGAAGACCAAAGGCAAAGAAGGACTGGATCTACCCAATTTTTATTATTATTTCTTAGCCAACAGGCTGCAATATATACCAAGATGGTTGCAAGATAATCCACTATATGAGTCCTGGTTAGACGTAGAACAGACACTTTGCAATAAGATAGAGCTTTCAGACTTACCATTTATTAGCGCAGGCATAAGAAAACATGCAGGCTTCAAAAGTATTAGTATCAGCACCTCTCTGACAGCAAGGTGGGAGTATCTAAAAATGACAGAGTCTTCACTAATGTCATGCAGACACACACCTATCTTGAATAATCCTGATATTTTGCAAAATAATAAAATGATGAACCTTCCGGACTGGAAAAATAAAGGAATCCTATACCTGGAACACATATATGAAGGATTGGACTTCATCCCATTTAATAGAATAGTCTCCCAATTTGGAACAGATATGAATAGCTTTTCAGAATATCACCAAATTAAATCTGTAGTCAAACAAAAATTTAAACTCAATCAAATAGAATTACAAACACCACCAAGGGTATTAGACTTCTATAATCTCAAACCCCCCAAACTACTGTCTAAAGTATATTAGCCACTGTCCAATATAGACGACAAAACAGCAATCCCTATGGAAAAATGGGAGGTGGAGCTATCAGTCAGCTTTGACCAAAACTTCTGGTCCCAAACTTGTTTAAAAACTTTTAAAATGATCAGACACTCCAATTTACAATTAATTCAGTACAAAATTCTACACAGAGTACACTATACAGGTCATCGGATGTTCAAGATGGGGTTTGTGTCGTCTGACACATGTACACACTGCACAAACAACATTCCTGACAATTACATTCACACACTGTGGTCCTGTCCACCTGTCCAGGAATTTTGGGGTAGAGTATGTGAAGACCTGTCAAAGTGTCTGAAATATCATATCCCAACCGCCCCCTCTGTTTGTTTACTGGGAAACCTGGACGATGTCTTTGGCTCACGTGGTTCTGACTGCCATATGCAGTATCCTCTTGAATTGGAAAATAGAGATACTCTTTTCATCAACCAGTTTAGAAATCTTTTGTTAGATCATATTACACTTGATATAGTCTCTGCTTCCACGTCTAATCAATCTCTCTGGGCTCCTTTGATCAGTTCCATCACAAAGCGATGACGGGGGACCATTGATATTGTCCTGTGGGATGATGTGGGTGAGGGGGTGGAGGGTCTGAGTTTGGAGTATCTGGACGTTCCCTGGAGGTGGGTTCACTGGGGGTGTCTGGCACTGGGGGGTCGTTGCCACCCTCTGGAGGTGCTTGGGTTGCCTCGGGGGGTGGACTGCTGGCGGTTGTGAGTGGGGCCTCTTGGAGGTCTTGGCGGTGGCCATGGGTCACTTTCCGGCAGCTGCATTGCCCCTGGGCGGGTCTGGGTGGGGGCCTGGGGTCTCGGGGTGTGGGGGTGGCCGGCCCCGTGGGGGGATCTGAGCGGGGCCTTGGGGGTCAGGTCCTGACATGTATGCTGCCGGGGAGAAGGCAGGAACATGCAGCAGTGCCTGACTCGGGTTCAGGGGCCTCAGGAAGACCTTGGCTCCTCTGCTGTCCCATCACAGGGGAGGGGGAGGTCCGTGAGGCTCTGTGATGCTGCTGCTTTGGGCCCTGGCAGGATGGGCTGGGGTCTCCATGCTCTCGGTGGCATTTTGACAACAGAGGTGCCTATTGGGGCCAGTGGGGGAGCTGGCACCTTGGAGGGCTAAGCCCAACCAGCCATTCCTCCCCATCCCCACACATATCTCTCCTCCTGCTCCTTCACATCATCACACAAACATGCACATAGGACCTTGGGGGGTGGACAAATCAGGGACTGCGGGTATGGAACCCATTTCCGCATTCCTGTGGCAACCTGCCCCCCAATGTTTTTTGCACCTTAAACACTTCCACCAACGACATTCCATGCTAACACACACGTAGGGCTTTGGGAGTGAGCACATTCAACGGCATTTGGCAGGGGGATTTCTCATCCTCATCCCAAGTGCCGGTGCCCACTTCCAATTTTAAACTGTTCATAGACACTGAGGGCGGTGGGTGCAAGTGGGGTGGTGTGGTGGCATCAGCTGGCATAGGCCAGACGATGCCCGCACTGCCCACTCACCACAGCCATGGAATACACCTCATCAACACTCACTAACACCATATTGGAGCAGGCAGAGGGAGACTAGGGGTCTTAGCACATCTATGTTGTCGCTTGGCTTCCTGGGGCTGGAGGCTAGGAGGGAGATCCGGCCGTCCGGTTGGGGTCTGGGGTGGTGGGTTGCTGTGCTCAGCTTTGGGCGGGGGAGCCTGCTCATCAGCACCCCAGCAGAAAGGGTCGAACTCTGGGAACCGTTAATGGTTGTACCCCATGTGCAGCAGTACCAGGACCAGAGTGAATAGGGTGTGTATGGGGAGCATGAGTGGGTGTCCGGCGTGCATTTTTGTAAGTCTTTGGTTGTATGTGTATGTGCGAGCATGAGGGAGGGAGTGTGTGACTGTGTTTGTGTATGATTGTATATAGCCCCCTTCAGACAGGCCATGAAAAATGGAAATGTTCCGGACTTTGTCCGTAAGACCTTTGTGTCTGAATACAAACATCCGGATAACATTTTCCGTAATTAAACCGGACGATGCCCCTAGTAACAGGTCCGGACTTGTTATGGACAAGGTGGCTGCTTCAGACTGGTGAGGTCAAGTTCCGGACAGGGAGGAGGGGGAGGAGGAGGGGACCGGGGGACGCTGTGCGCTCCTAGATAGCTCGCTCCTGTAGCATGCGGCAAACCATGGCAGCTCGCCTCCTACGGTACCGTCTAGACGCGCGACGGAGCGCTTCACACCGCTTCCGTGATTCCTTTAACCATTGAGCGCCATCATCCAGGTCTTCGTGTGCGCAGAATTATGCTTAACATAAGTCCGATCCTGTTGTGGATTTCTGTGCTGGGTCATATTGCTTCACTAAAACACCATCAACAGCTTTATTCCACCACCAAATACATACATTACTGAAACGAGCTCAGCCACACGTCTGGGTGACAATCTAAACATAATATAAAACTCTTTGCAGACTTGCTGAGAGTTGTACAAAGCCAAATAACCAGATTTACAACCAGGCTTGATATGTCAGCCCCCCACCCCCACCCCACCCCAACCCCACCCGACATCTGGAACTTTTCCCTGCTGTGTGAAGGCAGCCTAAAGGAAAAGTTCCGGTACAAAAGTGGTGTGTCTGAAAACACAGTTCTGGTTAAAAACCGGACTGAATTGTCCACACATATTCCGGAATGTCAATCTGAAAAGGGCTTAAGTCAGGTGGGGCCTTTGACTCCTCCCTTCTCCTGGGACTTCTTTTGATGATATAGATCTTCGTCTACCCTCCCCCTGCCACACCTGATGTGGAGTGTGGTGTCTTGGTCTGCCTGGGTTGTGGCTCCCAGGCCAGGGAGTTTAAGATTTTTGGCATCTGCCTGACCAATCCTGGTGGCTGCCTGGTGGGGTCTGGGTCCCTGGGCTCTGCTGGGTCCCCGGCGGGGGTGGTCGCCCCTGGGTCCCGGGTAGCTGGGTCCTGGGCTCGGCCGGCTACGGGGTAGGAGGCTGCGGGCGGGCCTGTGGGCTTGCCGCTGATATCTCCCGGGACTCTGCCGGCCGCTGGTTGTGCCCCCCCGGGGCGATCCTCTGTGCCTCTCGAGGGGGGCGGGGGCCTTTCTGGTTGCAGTCTCCCTGGGGTTCCTGTGCTCTGGGGCAGCTCCTGGATCTCTGGGACTTGGAGCTCCCTCCGTCTCCTGCACTTCTTTAGGGGGCAGATCTGTGGCCCCTCACACTCTCTATTGGACACTCCTATAGAGAAACCTTACATAAACAAGCGTGTGTACACACACAGGTGCTCACATGGTGCTCTCATAAGTTTGGACTTGGGCAAGTTCAACACATGTCTTAAGGCTATGGTTGGCACTTAATGCACTGTGATTTATTATCGTGTAATTGTTCAGTTAAACAATGTTGATTATATATTTCTTCATCAAGTTGACGCAGTGACAGCTTGATGAAGCTATCACTTCGAAGCTTGTATTGTTGTTGTGTCCCTTTTTTCTTCTTCTCTCTTTCTGCAGGTCTAGAAGCAGACTCTTGTTTATTTTCTTGGACCCCCCGCCTTCTCTTCCCTTCTCTTTCACCTCTGTCTCCGTGTCTGGTCGGAGTTAAAAAGCATTCCAAAACAATAACAATAAAGTTTTAAGTATCAGGCGTGACATTAAAAGCAGATGCTTTGATGCTCCACCTGAGAGTAAATCTGTAAGGCTTGTTACCAGCATTCAGACATCAATTCTGTTTGCTTCACAGCCAGACAGGACACGAAGAAAAAAAACCCCTCAAGTCTACAAGTACAAAACATTTAGTCCCAATTTGAGCTTCCTTCCCAAAGAACGAATGACAGGCTTTGTCTGACCAGCCAATCATGAGTCTTGGATTCCTGTCCAAGACAATTCCTGTTGGAAGCAAGCTAGAAATGTCTTGTCTTGTCGACTTGAGTTTTGTAACTGTAGACTGAGATTTGTGTTTTGAAAGTTGTGATTTAGTTACATGTTACAAAACATGAATTACATGGCTTGCCACCTCCGGGTCGGGGGAGAGGTCCTACCTCAAGTGGAGGAGTTTAAGTATCTCGGGGTCTTGTTCACGAGTGAGGGTAGGAGGGATCGGGAGATCGACAGGCGGATTGGTTCGGCGTCTGCAGTGATGCGGACGCTGAGCCGATCTGTCGTGGGGAAGAGGGAGCTGAGCCAGAAAGCCAGGCTCTCGATTTACCGGTCGATCTACGTCCCAATCCTCACCTATGGTCATGAGCTTTGGGTAATGACCGAAAGAACGAGATCGCGGATACAAGCGGCCGAAATGAGTTTCCTCCGTAGGGTGGCCGGGCTCAGCCTTAGAGATAGGGTGAGGAGCTCGGACATTCGGGAGGGACTCGGAGTAGAACCGCTGCTCCTCCGGATCGAAAGGAGCCAGTTGAGGTGGTTTGGGCATCTGGTCAGGATGCCTCCTGGACGCCTCTCCGGGGAGGTGTTTCGGGCATGTCCTGCCGGCAGAAGGCCCCCGGGTCGACCCAGGACACGTTGGAGAGGTTACATCTCCAATCTGGTCCGGGAACGCCTTAGGGTCCTGCCGGAGGAGCTGGTGGACAAGGCCGGGGAGAGGACGGCCTGGAGCTCCCTAATTGGGATGCTGCCCCCGCGACCCGGACCCGGATAAGCGGAGGAAGACGACGTGATTTGAAACTTGTACATTGATTTTTTCTGCAAGTTACTAAAAAAAGTTTCATGTTACGTACCAAAGTTACATGTTACAAAACATGAATTACATGCTAATAAAACAAAAGTCACAGTTACAAAACATGTCACAAGTTACAAAACCTGGTACAAGTTAAATGTAATATTGTCCCAATCGTAGTTCCATACAATCGCTGCTTATAGGACAGACAGTTACAGCAATATTACTACAAAGTGAGGCAGAATGAATGTAGCAAAATTTGTGCAACGCCATGCTGGCAAGATGTGTTTATAACACCATTGCTGTAATATTACAGTGATTTGCAGGCGTGGTGTGTCTTGTAAAAAGGGATTGTGAGTAGATAATGCCATTCAGTGTACCAGCCAAAGCCAGGCAGGAGAGGCACCCATAGCAAATGTGAGGCTGTTGTGTTGATCAAAAAGACTCAGCACCCTGCTTCATTACCACGTCTTTACGAGGAGGATCAACACAATCCTTCCCCTGGGAGAAGATTCATCAAATGCAAAGCTGAATTGGTCAGCTGACCTGGCTCCAGAGTTTTTCCTCATTTCCTCAGCACACTTTATCCACTCAAGTTCAACAGAAAGCTTTAATAGTACCAAATTAATGGCTTGTGCTGTCATCTGTAACCCAATTTGACGAATGACTAGCCGTTGGCTTATCAATCTAAGCAGAAATAAACTATATTTCACCAAACCGTGGTTGTTCACAAGTCATTTTCGCTGAGCAGATCAGATAAAACAGTTCATTACCTTTCAGAACAACTGATTGCTTTAATGAAACACTTTGTAACCTAAAAATCAACAAAGTTAAGCAGCAGTGTTGGGACTTTGACACTGAACTAAAATATAGATCTTATTTACAGACATTGTGGATTGTCTTTCCCCACACACGGGAACCTGATCAACAAAAGGTTCAAGGCCCGCCTCAGATAGTTGAATAATATAAAGTTAGACAAGTCATGCATCTTAGACCTTTGACCTTAGAGAGCACCAGATGACCCATAAATCCATGGCCTGTGGGCTTTACGGCCCATTGCCCTGTCATAGCC